ATAATGTTTGTTTAGTAGGCTGGTGATGTGAAATGTGTGATAACTAAGTGCACAATGCACAATGGATGTGTTTGCTGCAATGAATCCTAAATGCATTTTGGTTGCAAATTTGAAATCGACATCTATGTCCCCCCTCAGGATAATTAACTTCAGTGATCCTCTGACTTTTAATTTGGTGCCATCTTCAGGTAAATATTTCAGCTTCTGCAATACCGTAAAACTTAATTTAATACCCCGCTCTTTTATTTGCCTCAACCGCTGAACTAAACCTGCCTTTATCTGGGACTCAGCAAAGATGGAAAATATAAAATACCATCAAATTGTTTATTTAAACCTGTATGAATATTACTTGTATAAAAATTAGGCTATTGAATAACATTTCCTTTATTAATCATTAATTGGATCATTTAATGTTTTGATGCTCGTGGTTTCTGTAAAATGAACAAAACAATTTAACCAAACCTTTATACTTGTGCAGGCGATCTAAGTAGCTTAGAACGAGATCAAGCGGGTGATCCGGTGGGTTTTAAGATGTTTAATACATTCAAAGAATTTCTATAAAATCCAGACCAGGTGTCTAATTGAGACCTGCGTTTATTTGTCAAAACTTGTGGCCAGACCAGACTAGTAAAGGGGACCAGCATCTAATTGACAGGCGACTGGTGAAGTTCACATTGTTATATTGTTAACCAGTACACAGCTCAGTCAGTATATAACATAGGTCAAGTGTTTATAGACATTTTAATGTGCAAATGTTACATAATAGCTTCGAAAGGCTGAATCAGAAACCTCATTTTGGTTACAAAACATTTTTCTCATATTTTTGCTATCTTGGCTTCATCTTACTGTATAATTGTGTAACACTAGATCCTCTAGTGGAGTTCCTGTTTACAAAATTGTGCAATAGTAAAAACTACTTGACTGAACTGGAGAACGTGTTCTCGGCACTCTGCAGTGAGCTAAACCACACTTTGTTGAAAATTGGCCGTGAGATCAATCTGGTCTTTCATGTTTGAAGGAAACACACTTACAGTAAACTTCACCCAGCAAAGGGGCACACTGGTGCTCAGAGACACACCTCGTTAAATGGTAGAGCTTTTGCACAGAGCCATTTACAACAACAAACATGCACACTGTTTGTGTCATAAACTGAGTTCATACCTTTGACTCAGCAGAAGATACATCTTATGTTTGAGTTTGTGAAACTGTTTCTGTCTACTTAACGGAAATTTCCAATGCTTTTGCATGTTTATAGGCCAGTCCCCACAAATCACATATACTTAACAATCCTGCCAACCATTTTCCAAACATATCAGTGTTTGGGATTTTTGAAAAATGTTCCTGCTGTACCTCCTAGGTCGTCTAGTTCGTAATAGTTTCTATTCATTTCAGCATGCTATAAAAGCCAACCTTTGGAGATAATTTCCAAGATGAAGTTCATACCGCAATTGCTGCCTGGAAGTCAGGAGGAACACAATCAATTGCTGTTTTTTTTTTTTTATTCTAGCAAAACTTCTCACTTCAGTCCAAATAACAGCAAGGGATTGCTCTTTTGATTTCAAGTAGGACCCTTTTTTGCACACCATAAATTAAATTAATGAAGTCAATTTTGTGTAATTATCAAATTTACAGTTAGTCTATAAATTCAGTGTTGTTAGCTCATGTGTTTTCTGCCCTTCCATTAAATATCCAATGAGTTTGATACACACCTCAGGCAGCAAAGCGTACAACCTAGTTCTTACATTTTGCATGGGTGTTGTGACGTGTTTGTGTCTTCACTGAAACGATCTAAGATTTTTATATAGAGTTTTTACACAATCACACCTCTGTGAGCTATTTACACTATTAACCCTGAGGGAAAACACAGGAACTCAGAAACCACACCTGCCTGTCAGTCTTGCAACATCTAACAGACTTAAACTAGACTGCACAAACAACAAAAAGCTCAACTTATTTAATCATAACTAAAAGTTAAGTTATAATTTAATTTTGACTTAACGTTTTCATAACAGTCAGATAAGTTTGACCTCAGTCAAACGTTTGACTGAATTCTTAATTGTTATGACATATAAAGTCAAAATTCAGAAATACCATCTTATAATTATGACGTAGTGTTCACTCATTTCAACCAAATAACTCAAAATGTTGACTTATATTCTTATGAGTATGACCTCAAAGTCAAACAATTGTCTTTTTTATAATTCTGACCTAAAATGTAAAAATTTTATATTACCTCATAATTATGTCAGTTTAACCTAGTTTATTTTGAGTTATCTCGCAGTTCTAATTATCTTTGGCATAAATATTTCAGTATGCACTGTTAGACTTTGAGGGAAAGTGAACATCAGTATTCTCTGTTGAAACAGCAAGGTATAAATAATAACAAGAAGTACTTATATATAAATATTCATGATAAGCTTCGACAAACCCTCTGAGGCAAGATGTTGTTCATCAAATATATACTGGAAGGTTGTTTTGTGAACCACACTCACTCACCTACACAAATGTTTGTGTATGTGTGGCAGCGTTGCATGTTCAAGGCCAAAAACTAATTTAAATGTCAGTGTGGCTTGAACTGGCTTTTTGGTTCACAGAGTTGTGTCCAAACCTCTCATAAAGGCCTCATTCACAAAGTGCCAGCCAGATTTCAATGGTCTCTCCTGCCCCTGGCCTCCTCAACTGAAACCAGATGCTGCAGCACGTTAATCTAACACAACCCTCTAACTGTTCTGCCACTTGTTTTAGTTGAAGACTGGGATTAACATTTGCATTTCACCTTTCTTGAGTTATTTAAAGAAATCAGATGAAACCAATCCAGATACCGCACGCTCAAATGAAAACCAGACTTATGTGAGTGATTTAAAGGCTGCTTTTGAGGTTTAAATCAAGGAATCAAGGAAATGTATTTATCATTATACAACACGAGGATGTATAACGAAATTAAAATTTGCAGTTCATTCATGCTACACATGTAGAAAAAGAAAATTAAATCAAAGAAAATAAATTAAATAAACCGATATATACAGTTATTTATATACATGTATATGTCACGGGGCGGAAGTTTGATTTTATTTTAGCATGCTTTTACTTTGGATTTGTTGTGTTTTTAGCATTTGCTGTGTTTTTATCTTATTGCATGCTTTTATTTTGAAGTGTTGTGTGTGTTTTATGTTGGTTTTACTTCCGCCACGGAGATGTACCTTAATCAGGTTAAGGAACCTGCACCTCGGGGACGAGAGATTGGAGTGACTGTTTTAGATAAAAGGACACGATGGAAGATACCTCGCGCACGAGGGAGGAGACAGAGGGCACAATGGCCCGGACAGCAGGAAGCAGACAGAGAGATGGAGACTCTAACCCGGCCTGGGAGAGGTCTGAGAAACACTGGCAGCAAACGCACACCAGACCGCTAGCGGCTACAGCTGGGAAAGGTAAAACTTCCCCTCCCGCGTAAGGTCCCGTTTCAGACCGGTGTTTGTTGTAGTGTGTGATATATAAAGCTGTGGCTTGTTAAAGGTACTGTTGACTGGGCCCTGGGAGTTCCTCACAGGCCCTGGAGTTTCCCTGAGCACCAAAGAACCCGCGACCACCATTGTTGACCTCCCCACTCCATCCGTGCCGCATTATTTTTAGCTAGATTTTAGTTGTTTGTGTTTTTTGGTTTTTAATTTCTTTTAAGCTAGAGCTCCTAGTTGTTTTATTTCTTTTAAAATAAATTGGTTACTCCTCCAACTGCTTCTACTCACTGTTTTAAAATACCACTGTTTACTGCTCTCCCCCGACATAAAGAACCTTTTAATCTTTTATCTTAATTTTAATCTTGGTAGTTTTAAGAGGTCCTAGGCCTCACTAAAAACCTAGGTGGCGTTGTCGGCCCCCGTGTTTTTATTTTTTATTTATCCACCCCATAATCCACGGCTTCTTTACATAAACGCATACATTTCTGGCTTATCTTTCTTTGTGTTCAAGGTCTACCATGCCCCTCACAGACTGGCTGATCACTAACATTCTGCTCATCAGTGGAGCTGAATATTAACTCTGCAGAACCAGTGTCTGGCTTGACAATTGGCTGCTTGCTGGATTGGTGTGCTGCTGGAGTGAGCTGAAGATGCAACTCTGTGGAGTTTATTATTTATTTAGTTGCTTGCTAAAGCTCTCTTAGCCATCCTGCCACTGTTTGTTGCTTTATAGATATACCTCCTTTCCTTCCTTGAACCCCTTTTGATAGGTACTGACCACTGCAGACTGGGAACACCCCCCGATGCTGAAGTTTTGGAGATGCTCTGACCCAGTCGTATAGCCATCACAATGTGGCCCTTGTCAAAGTTGCTTAAATCATGATAATTCTGCTTAAAAGTTACCTTCCTTTCCATCTTCCCTGTGACTTTGTTACATTATAGAAGTGTCTGCTAAACATGAATACTTCACCACAATATATGATAGCTGGAAAACTACTCAGGATATTAAAGTTAAACGATATGGACACTTATCCACAAAACTTTAAACTGAGTAATTTCACTGTACAGCTATTCTAGTTATAATTTACATAATCCTTTCTTTCTATGAAAATGTATTTCCAAAGACAGTCTGTGCTCATTTCACAAAAGATATTACAATGCAGCATCTAATGGTTGAAATTACTCACCACTTAAAAGGGAAGGGTGCTATTTCTTTATACTTTGAAAGGCTTATTTTTTCTTAAGAGCAAGCAAAGTAAATTACAGACAAAATCATATCCACACACATGTCAGTGAATTTTCAAGCCAGGATGTCATTTGTTTAGTAAATCCTGGAAAACTGGAGTACCAATCAGTTGTGTTGCTAATTTTAGGTTCTCCTGAAGTCTCACTTCATCAAAGCACACAGATC